CGTCAGTGTAAGAATGCATAAATTTAAACTAATAGCTGTCAATATGTGGTCAATGACAAATGTCTTAATGTCCAATGAAATTGGGGCCCGGTGGCACAGTAGTTAAGAGCTCGGCTGCTAACCAAAAGGTCGACAGTTCGAATCCATTAGCTGCTCTTTGGAAACCCATGGGGCAGTTCTGCTCTGTCCTACAGGGTGCCTATGAGTCGGAATCAACTCGATGACAATGGATTTTTGACAATTAACTTATTTTACACTATTTTATAAATGACATGTTGAAATTATTGGGAAATTTCAAATATAATATTCTGAAATTCTGTAGTGACAGTTCATTATGTGTATTTTTAATAAACATTTTAATATCCCTTTAATAGTAATCAAAATGTTTAAGCATTAACACTTTTTAATTTTATTGTGGCAAACTACATTTAACAGAAAGTTTGCCATTTTAACTATTTTTCAGTGTACAATTCAGTGACATCAGTTACTTTCACCAGGTCACACTACCATCACCCCTGACCGTTTCCAAAGGTTTTCCATCACCCCAGAGAGAAATCCAGTACGCTTCAGTAGTAATTCCCGTTTCATCCTACCCCTAACCCCAGGGAACCACCAATAAATTTTGGTTCTATGCATTTGAATGTTTTGGTTCTATGCATTTGAATATTTTGGTTCTATGCATTTGAATATTTTGGTTCTATGCATTTGAATATTTTGGTTCTATGCCTATTCTGAATATTTCATATAAATGAGATCATACAACATTTGCAGCAGCAAACACCTTTAATCAGTTTGAATCTCTATTGTCTGATACTTCTAAAGGTTTACCACTGGTTGGTAAGACACAGTCCCTCATATTTCAAGTAATAATCAAAATACATACTCCACCTATTTCTTAGGGTTATTTTGAGGGTCAAGTAAGATAATGTTTGTAAAAGAAATGGAATTTCATAGACTCAACATCATCCTCCCTGTGCTATATACAACTTTGGATGGTAGGACTCACCCAAAGGATACAGGCTTTCGGAAATTCAAACCTCTTGAAAAACAATTACTCAAAGTTCTGAAGAAAAAAAAAATTAATGTGCATTTTGCTGTTGTCATCTCATACACAATAATAAAAAGCGAGCTGAGTACAAATTTCTATTTCCTCTTATTGTATGAAAGTTTGCTGTTCAAAACATGAGCTGCTTTGATCTTAGGAGAGGAATTCCTTTTTGCTAGACGTCCTACAGATTTCTGATGAGATCAAATAAATGCAATTTAAATACTAAACTTATATTAAACATCAGCTTTTAAAAATCCCCTTTCCCACCTCAGTTAACTCACTGGTTTTGGCGAAAGGAGGAAGAAAAGACTTACCTACAAGGCTCTGTTACTAACCTTGAATCAATGTCTGAAAAATAATTGACTAAGCAGAGGGGTCCCTTCCAAATAAAGCTGGTTTAAAATACTGCCTTGAGGTTAGAAGCTGGAGCAATTGCTCGTGACTTATGCCATACAGTGCTGAGATTCATAATATGTTTTACCACATGATAGACTGATTCTCATTTGAGATAAGCACCCCTACATACCTACACCAAGAGTTCACATAGCTAGTAAGAAATCCCAGCTGGGAAGTGCCTAATGCTCTAAACTGTCAGAAACTGTCCAGCCTCCTTCACAGCATCCAGGTAGCTGCAAGGCATCCCTCGGTGAGCAGCTGAAATGCTGGGGAGTAGATGATGTTCACCTCTTACATCATACACGTGCTAGCTACCTGTTTCTGTATGATTATATGTTCGGGTGACTTTTTAATAATGACTGTGACCCTGCTAGAACATGATCTCCATGACCACAGGGACTGTGCCTTCTTCCACAGCGCTTGACACATAACCGGGGCCCAGTAAGAAGTGCTGGGTCTAAGGTAAGGCAAGTGAGGCACTCGCCTTAGGTATAAAACGTAAGGGGTGCCAAAAAACTCAATAATCAAGATAAGTAATGTTTTACCACAATACTTTCTAAAATAAAGATTAATGCAAAAATCCACAATGAGTAAAAATATCAAAAATTTAAATAAAGACAGGATCAGTATTACTGATGTTTCCTTTTGTCCCGGGCTGCAATCTGGCTCAGCACGGCTTGGTCAACAAATATTGGTTAGCACATCCCCGTCTTAGTATCGGAAGTTTCCTTAAAATCATGTAATGGGAAGCATTAAAACCAATCAACCAGCCACAAAAACCACCTCACTGAGAAAGAAGGCAGGAAGTGTTCTATTTCTATCGAGATCCCCTCAGGGAACCTAGTTCAGATGTTTAGATTTTTCCCAGGCCGTGTAAGAAAGGCGAGGGTGTTTCTGCTTCTTTAACAGGTGCGGGATGAAGGTGTCAGCTCAGAAATAACACTCAGACTTCAGTGTCAATTTCATTGCTACCTATTCGTAGATCTTCTCTCAACTTGTTCTCTAAATGTGGGGGCCTAATGAAGCTCATGACCCAATGTTTTTACCTGCTGAAGATGACAGGATGGTGGGGGGTGGTGTTCCTTCTCCTGAATATATGTTGTGATAACTTCCCCCAGTTCATAAACCACTTCTTGGAAGAAAACTGGGCCTCTTTGGGAGGTAAGCTAATTCTAGTGACTTTGAAGAGGCTTTTGTTAAATGTCAGACCAAGTACCCTGGGAGAGGTAAAGTAACTTTAAGAGATACCTAATCAGCTCTGGGGACAATTAGCCTCCAGATGCTCCCAGATGTGAGCCACTGTGTAATGATGGATTCATATACTGGCATCTTCCCTTCCTATGCCCCTACCTCCACCCCAACTCCCTAGGATCCCCCCTTCCCCAGGAAGCCAGCAGCCTCCCTGCTTATATTCCAAGATGGCCTCACATAGACTCAAGTCAAGTCTCACAATCTCACACAGACCTTTGCTTTAGCCAAAATTACAAACACAGCTTCCTCTTTAAACAGTCCACCAAATACCACACCCCTCACTGCTACCAAAAACAAAACACGGTGATTCCATGCATTTGAGAGCAAGACCGCATTCCACGGGGTTTTCATGGCTGTGATCTTTCAGAAGCACATAGCCAGGCTTTTCTTCCAAAGCACCTCTAGGTGAGTTTGAACCATCAACCTTTCGGTTAGTAGCCCAGCACTTAACCCTTTGCATCATCCAGAAACTCCTCACTACCAGCACTCATCCCCAAACCCTAGTTAGCATCACAGGAGGCTGACCCCGCCTCTCCTCACGCAGGAAAGGAAGAGAAAGACTTTACAGAAAAAATGGAACAGCACACACGGCAAAATCTAAAGCACAGGTATTCTAAAGGGGAGAGATTTTAGTCAGGAGGAAGAGAAAGGCTTGTAAAATACATTGTACTTCTATCAATTCACTTGCCCTCTGTCCCCAAGAAAGAAGTCATATAACTATCAGGAGACAACTTTTGCTAGGGAGGAATTTTCAGAAAAAAAGTGAAACATGTTGGGCATGGACCAAGCCCCAAGATGGCGAGACTCAGATTATCATAGTTCAAGATCCCTTCCTCATATTTCTGCCTCTTCCGTCCTGGTATTACCTTTAAACGGAATAATGAGTTGGACCCCCTTGGAATTCTGACATTGAGAGTCTAGATAAAAAGCAAAGAGGACTTACTGGGGAGGCATCGAGAAACTTGTGGAACTTAGCATCCCAGTCTCTACCATCTCAATAGCTTGCTTCATTTCCAGCTTCTTGTACAAAGAAACAATGCTTGACTTGGGCTGGTTACTTCGGATTAGGATTTTCCGTAAATATCTATGATCAAACTTCTTAAACCTAAAAACGAAAAGCGACATTTTGGAAATCTTCAATCTCTGTATATGTTATGTAAGCATGTGCTTTTCTTAAAACAAATGTTTACTTACCTTTATTCTGAAAAATACCAGGGCAGTGCCTGGAATTCATAGCCTTTGGACACATTTTTTTTGGAAAAACAAATCATAGTACTTATACTTTTTTTTTTTTTTTAAAGAAAGAAAGAATGGCCGACTCGCCTACACGCATTGAAAATCAATGAAAGAAAAGAAAGGGACAAGCAGCAATCAGGGCAGAAAGTGGGGAGCGGGGGACCCACAGCTCAGCGCAGCTTCGATTGTAAGAGAAGAAACGAGGGTGGTTGAGGCTTTTGAACAAGCGTTACATTCTAACAGCTCCTAACAGCGGCAGCTGCACTTACAGTAATACTGGCCTATTCAACTAGAGCCCAATAAGTTAAATGGCCCGGCAGTTACTGTGGCTTTGCCCCATTATGCTGCAGATCATTTTGAATCCTGCCAATTAAGGAAGAAGACGAAAAGAAAACACCCTACATATGTCCCGACAGTCTAAATGACAGAGACTCTGAATAGGCTAGACAGTGATGGGTGCCGACTATTGTCGTGTACCTCTGGCCAGCCCATGAGAGGCTGAGCTGCACGCATGCCTGCGGCCGCCATCAACGGCTGCCATTTGTTTGGAGAAGGCATTTTCAACGCTCTCAATCATTTTACATTCAAAGAGGAGTTTGTCTGCCTGCTTTATTTTCTGGAGGGGACCATTCTTTCTAGACTGCTGGCTGATTATCTTTTGCTTGGTTTCCTGGTCTGCGAGGCGGTTGGACCCATTCATTATCAGTTAAGTCTCCTCCACTTCGTCAGATGCCATCGTTCCTGTTTATTCCTCAACCCGCTGTCATCAGTGTCCTAACCTTCACTTCCCTGACACTCCTCTTACTGAGCTCACCTTGCTATATAATGGGAGTCCCCAGGTGGTGCAAAGGAGCGCTGGTGGTGCAGTGGTTAAGCACTTGGCTGCTATCCGAAAGGCGGGTGGTTCAAACCCACCAGCCGGTCTACAAGAGAAAGACGTGGCAGTCTGCTTCTGTAAAGCTTACAGGCTTGGAAACCCTAGGGGGCGGTTGTCCCTGTCCTACAGGGTGGCTGTGAGTTGGAATCAACTTGACAGCAATGGGTGTTTGTCAGGAGGTGCAAATGGTTAACGAGTTGGGCTGTTTGGAGGTTCAAGTCCACCCAATTGCCTTGGAAGAAAGGGCTGGTGATCTGCTTCCAAAAACCCAGCCATTGAAAACCCTATGGAGTACAGTTGGGGTCATCATGAATCAAAACCGACCCAATGGCAACTGGTTTTTATAGTATTCACGTCCAGTGGTCACTGTTGCTCTTAGGTTACTTGCCACTTTGTGTCTCCTGATGTCCTGGTTCATTTCCTCATGTCCTCCACATTCTGACTAGCTTGGCTTCCCTTCCAGCCTCTCTGGGCAATTCTTCTCAAGTCTCCCTCTGCCCTTGCTCTCTCTTACCTGCCTCCTCGGTGAAAGAGCTTCTCAGAGTCCTGTTCTCAGCTTCCACCCTTCACGCCCTCGTAGTGATTCACCCAAGCCCACAGATTCAGTTACCAGCTACTCACAAACAAGAACTTCAGACTAAATTCTCAAAAGTTGTCTGAGCATATGCTTGAAATACCTTAAATGGAATCTACTGCTTAATCTCTAAACATTCTTTCATAATTTATATATTTAATTGTGGCATTCTTTTCTGCCTAGGCTCCCCATCTGGAAATCCGAGAGTCACCCGTATTTTCCCTTTCTTCGATGCCTGCTCCCCAAGCTCCTAGCCTGTCAGTCACCATGTGTATCTCACCTTCACCTCAGGACCCCTTCTGCTAGCTTCTGGTCCTTATGGTCTGAGATGTCTGTGGTCCGTTTAAAAGGAAAGAGGTTTTAAAGTCAGACCTGAATTCAAATCAAGGGTCCACTTTAGAACAGATTAAATGGCCCCTTGGATTGATTTCCTCACCTTTAAAATGGGAACAGTAGCTATTATACAGGACCATCAGAGAGATTATGGAGCCCTGGTGGTGTAGCGGTTAAGTGTTTGGCTGCTAACCAGAAGGTTAGTGGTTCAAATCTACCAGCCACTCCTTGGAAACTCTATGGGGCAGTTCTACTCTGTCCTCTAGGGTTGCTATGAGTCAGAACGGACTCAGTGGCAGTGGGTTTAGTATTTTTTGTGGGGGAGTCAAGGAGATTATGTAAAGTATAATCTGGGAAATAGCTGGCGTAACACGTGGAGTTTACCCTATATTTAAAAAGCAGTAGTTTTTTATTTTGTTTTTAGTTCTGACATCTACTGTGAAAACCCCTTTTACAGGTCTCCCTCCCACTAATATCTCTTTCTAATCCATCCTCTATATTACTGCGGCAGTTTTCTTTCCAAAAGCCAAGTCAAGTCACTCCCCTACGCAAAAGCCTTTTGATGTGAGTTTTAAAGCTCGAATAAAATGTTATAGCATGAACGGTCGTAGAGAACTCCTTAGCATCGCAGTGTAAATGCTTGTCTCTGTCTTTCTGAACTCTTGTCTCACCATATCACCCTCTCTGCCTGTCCCCAAACCACACTTTTCTCTGCCTCTGCACATTCAAATATGCAGCTGCCGCTACCTGAAATGCTTTCCCTTCTTCTTTGCCTAGAGGACCTGTAACCAGTTGCTGTGGAGTCAATTACGTCGCATAGCGACCTCGTGTGTGTCAGAGGAGAACTGTGCTCCATAGGGTTTTCGATGGCTGGTTTTTGGGAAGTAGATCGCCAGCCTTTTCTTCCGAGGCTCCTCTGGGTGGACTTGAACCCCCCACCTTTTGGTTGGCAGCTGAGCTAGCTAACCATTTGTACCACCCAGGGACACCCTGCCTAGAGGACTCTTCATTTATTTTCAAAAGTCATCCCCGCATTTCTGTATTATTATAGTTCTATGTATTTACTTTCATTATATCATTTGCCATACTGATCATAATAATTTGGCAATTTCTTTCTCTCTTTTCCCTCCGCTGCCTATCTACTATATTGTGAGGACCTGAGGGCAAGGAGTGTGTCTTGTATCTGCCTTGATATCTGTCTTAGTAACTGCCTTAGTGCCTAGTAAAGTACCCAAGATACAGATTTGGTTAAGTGAAAAAATACTGAATGATTTTTCATAGGGAGGACTGTAGGATGTGGACTTAAACATTTGTGACCTAAAATCTAGATAAATGTATATTCCTATCATTTAAATTCTACTTTAGCACAATGGGGACTGCTAAAATGATTCTTATTTCCACCCCATAAAAATAATCAACCATAAAGCTCTCAGTTTTCCCCTATGTGCCACCACCTCACAAAAGCTATTCTTTGAAGTTCTGGTCCCTCTTGGCGTCACCAACATCCACATGTTTGGGGCTGGAAGACCAGGGAGGGCGTCCCTAGAGAGGCAACATCCTCCACCTGACTAACTTGACTCCGACTAACAGCTACATTCTCCAACAGCAGTGTAACTGCAAAACTCTTGCCTTTGTCATCCTCAATGAGACCCTCCTCAAAGCCAGATAATGAAGACACTATTCATTTCTTGGCTGAGCTGCTCTAGTCGTTAGAAGCCTTTTTTGTGTTTTAAACTTAAATCTGAATTTTCTATTTCCATCTATCAGATGTACTACCTCTTCTCTCTGAAGCCACCTGAAGCAAGTCTACGGCCTCCTCTACCTGACAACTCTTTGTTTCCCAGGCTAGGCATTCCCAGGACTTCCAACTGCTGTTCATATATCATGGCTTCTAGAACATTTATCTTCCTGATCCTGGTCCTCCAGATTCTTTCTAGTGTTATGCCCAGCTCCACTGTAACCCTTGGAGGTCCTCCATGCCACAAATATTCTTCCCCAGGGAATGAAATCCTTGGCTTCCTCACTTGTCTCTCACTTGGTAGTGGCTCCACTGCCCACACACATCTTCAATTCCAGCTTTCAGATGATCCATCAGCTGCCAAACCAAACACAAGACAATAATTGCTGGTGAAATGTCAACTCTGAAAGCCACAGAAGTCAAGTGAATACATTTCAGGAAACAAAGGGGGCTTTAATATCCTGGAGCATGTCCTCTTCCCTATCGCTCGGTTCAGGTAGCTCAGCTATAGAATGCCTTTCATAGTAATTCAACTTAATTTCATGATTCAGAGACTCTATAGATAAGGTTCTTGATAATGCACATCATTTTCTATTGAAACAGGATACCTGGCACTTGCTTTGTATAATATTTTACTAGAATGATCTAGGAAATTTCTCATTACTGAAATCACATCGATGCAAAGCCCAATAATTAACTGCTACTTTTAATTACATTGCAACAGAAAAGAACATGCCAGTATTCAATTTACCGGTTTTTAAAAATAGAATTCTACAGATATTCTATGATAATAATAACAAAGCTTATCTGTATACCCCGTTTGTGATTTAATCATTTGGTCTACATAATTATATTTCTCCATCCAAGCCAATACTATATCTGTTTTATCCAAAATAGTTTACAAACATTCAGGAAAAAGCAAAATTTGTTCAAAGTAATTATGAGTTAGTTTCCAAACAGTTTAAGTTTATAGTTATTAAAGTCTATGTTGGATTCTGAATTTTCGCAAAGTAAAATACTAAGTCAATTCTTAAATACTTAATTGATTCTATGTCTTCTACCAATAATTAATTATAGCTTTTTTGAGAAAAAGAAAAATAAATGAGAAAGGAATGAAACATCCAAGTTCTATTGTCTTAGGTATATTATTAATTTCTCGAAATGATGAATCAGAGAAGCTAAAGACAGTGATGGAAGTCTAGAATCAGATTAAGGCATTGTATTTTTAAAACACTTACTCTCTACCCTCGTATGTTTGATATTTTCAAACGACTTTGAAAAAACTTGGATTGTGTTTCCTGGAATTTAAATTACTTAATTTCCTCAGGTGACTTTGGCCTTCAAACTCAGGGCTGATTTTGGAAGCTTCATCAGTGTCTCCAGCATTAGAGTCATGAACTCTCAGGGATGGAAGAAATCTAAAAATTATCTAGTCCAATCATGCCCCCAAAGCTTGACTCTCCTGCACGGCCGCTCTGCCAAGGGTCCCCAGTCACTGCTTGAACACATCCATTTCACCGTTGGATGCGTGAAAAGATTGTTAGAACGCTATTTCATTTATTGAGCTAAAATCTCTCTCCTCTGACTTCCATACACTGGTTCTTGTTTTTCTACTTCTTGGAGCTATACAGAGTGGGAGGAGCCCTGGTGGTGCAGTGATTAAGCACTCGGGGCTGCTAACTAAAAGGTCTGTGGTTCAAACTGGGGCTTTGAATCAGTTTGTTCTGGTTCCAACCCCTGCTGAGAATTTGCATTTTTAACAAGTTTCCGGGCAATGCTAATGCTGATGGTTAGGGACCGATTCTGAGAACCACTAGTAGAACAGTGATTCTCAAAATTCATTATATATAAGAATCACCTGGGCATCTTGTTAAACTGTAGATTCTGATTCAGTATATCTGGGGGTGGAAATGTAAATTCTCAGCAGGAGTTTGAACAGGAATGAACCGGTTTGAAGCCCTGGTTCAAACCCACCAGTTGCTCAGCAGAAGGAAGATGTGGCAGCCTGCTTCCATAAAGATTACAGCCTTGGAAACCCTGTGGGACAGTTCTACTCTGAATGGCATCCCTTCAAATGTCGCGTGAACTTAAGCCAACAAGTAGAAACCGCGCTTAAGTTTATTTTCATCTTTCCAGAGTGGGATGTTTTCACCAAAAACTGCCACTATCCTGTGTCCGCAAAAGCAGTAGTAGTCCTTACTCCTTTCCTACTGAAAGTTCAGAAAGAGCAAGGGACCTCGTATTGGTACAATGCTTTTAGAACCTTGTGGAGCAGTGGTTACAAGCTAGTCGGCTAACCAAATGGTTGGCCATTCCAATCCACCGGCTGCTCCTTGGAAACCCTATGGGGCAGTTCTACTCTGTCCTATAGGGTCACTATAGGGTGCCTATGAGTCAAAATAGACTCAGTGGCAACGGGTTAGGGTGACTTTGAACACTAGTCATGGTGATAGTCCTTTGAGGTGTCAACTTGCCTGGGCTACAGTCTCAAGTTTTTCAAACACAAATCTAAGTGTTGCTGTGAAGGTATTTTGTAGATGTGATTAAAGTACATAATCTATTGTTTTTAAGTAAGTAAAGATTATCCTAGATAATCTGAGTGGGTCAGGTTCAATCAGTAGAAAGGCCTTAAGAGCATAGCTGAGGCTTCCCTCATGAAGAAGAAACCTGCCTGTGGGCAGGGCTTTAGTTCATGCCCAAGGGTTCTAACCCGCCCCTCCTAGAGTGTTCTCTACGGATTCTGGGCTTGCCTAACCAGCCTTCACAATCATGTTAGCCAGTTCTTTGCAATAAATCTCTCATATGTATCTCCTACTGATTCTGCTTCTCTGAACGAACTCTGACAGAATCAATACCAACCATACCAAAAGGATAGAGAGAGGACAGAGAAATGAAAGAAGGCTGTAAGAACCCCAAAATTCTGGCAGGCAAGTAACAGGCTGGTCAGACTACTCAGTTGCAAACACTTGCTACCTTTAGTGAAAAAAGAAGTATGACTTCTTAAAGGGTGGAGCTGAGATTGTCAAGGGTGAACAAAGAATGACAGAGGATTATTCCCAGGCCTTGAAACGAAATAGGGTTTGCCCAGCTGGATTTCAAAAATTCTCGGAACCCTTCATTCCTTTTTTCCCTCTCTTCTTCCCCTTGTTTGAAAGGGAATGCCTGTAACTGCTATCCTGTGCCTGCCCCACCATGGTATTTTGGGAGCAGATAACTTGTTTCTTGAGTTTCACATGTTTGTAGTTATAGACGACTTCTGCCGCTGGATGGATTATGCTCAGAGCCTCACCCATGCCTAATTGAGCTGGTTTAGAGGATGAGATTTGGAACTTTTGAGTTGATAAGATTTAGATGAGATTTTGGACTTAGAGTTCATGCTGTAATGGGTTGAGACTTTTGATGACGTTAGGACAGAATGAATGTATTTTGTACCTGGGACAGATATGAATCTTTGGTAGCCAGAGTGCAGACTGTGGTAGGCAGAATAATTACTGACCTCCCACATACGTCCACATACTAATCCCCAGAACCTGTGAATATTTTAGGTTATATGGCAAAGAAGAATTAAGGGAGCAGATGGCATTAGAGTTGATAATTAGGTGAATTTAAGACAGGGAGAGTATCCTAGAGTATTGGGGTGGGTCCAATGTAATCATAAAAACCCATTGCTGTTGAGTCCATTTCATAATCATAAGAGTTCTTAAACATGGAAGAGGGAGGCAGAACTGTCAATGTCAGAGTGATGTGTTGTAAGAAAGACTAGAGCAGCCATTGCTGGCTTTGAAGACGGAAGGGGTCCGTGAGCCAAGGAATGAGGGCAGGCTCTAGCAGCTGGAAAAGGCAAGAAGACAGATTCTCCCCTAGAGCCTCCAGAAAGGAATGCAGCCCTCGTGACACCTTGATTCTAGCCCAATGAGCCCCATTTTGGACTTCTGACCTCCAGAACTGTAGGATAACAAATTTGTGTCATTTCTTACAGCAGCAATAGGAAACTAGTAGTCACTCTTGGTGGAGCTGGGAAGGAAGGAGTTTGTAAGTCTAGGACATAAACACACATCTCATCAAAGCTCTAGATTATTCCCCACATCAGACAAACGGGGGACTTTTTTTTTTTAATTTATTAATTACAACAATGATAACTTACACGGATATGAAGCTCTTCATTGATAGATTCTTTTTTATTGGTCTTTTTAACATCCAAGTACCTGACCAGAGGGCCAACTGTGACTCCCTAGATTGCAAATAAAAAATAAAGGGTGTTATCAGCCAAATATTACACAGGCCCGTAAAACAAACAATAATACAAGTAGCTCAACCATGAATACGAGACTAAATGGGCACACCAGCCCAGGGGCAAGGACGAGAAGGCAGGAGGGGAACAGAAAGCTGGATGAATGGAAATGGGGAACCCAAGGTTGAGAAGGGGAGAGTGTTGAAAAGTCGAGGGGCAGGCAACCAATGTCACAAAACAATATGTGTATTCATTGTTTAATGAGAAACTAATTTGCTCTGTAAACCTTCATCGAAAGCACATTAAAAGAAATAAAATAAAGGGTTTTGTTGTGGTGGAGATTGTCACTATAGACAGCAAATTTATTAGCAAAACTATCAAGACCTCTAATTTTTATGTGTGGGTGTTTGTACTAGCTTTTTCTGTATAAATAAATGTTCTGCTGTTAACCACTTTAGTTCTTAATTGATTCTTTTTGGTTCCGCAATAAAAATAGGTACTATTATCTGTATTTTAAAACAGGAATTTCATTTTATTCCTTAAAATAGCCTTTACTATTTTAGTTAGGTGGGAGCTAACTCTGCTAAAATAAAAATTCATGCTATCTAGTATTATCCGGAACCTCATTTTTAGAAATGCGTGGTAGAGTAGCTACTGTTCACGTGGTACTCGGTAATATTTTAATGTTTTATAGATTGGAAGGCTGCAAACGTGATCTAGAAATATTTGGGAATTTTGTTTTGATATTGAGTACAGGCCTAAAAATCAGATAGTGTCTTTTTTTTTTTTTTTTTTTGGTATTATAGAAATTTAATACACATTCCTGAGAGAATCTACTTCGTTTAAGTATGAAAGAAATCTACTAACCTGAATAAACACGGTAAAATATATAATTACTAGAGTAGCAGTGACAAACATTTTCTTCCTTGGAAAAAGAGCCAGAGGAAGCAAAAACGCAAGTGAAAAACTTCCAGCCCCTCGGACGCCGCTGTAGAAAATTATGCACTGGTCCTTGATGGAGAAGGGGAAAGTCCGAAACTGGTTACTGACGTAGAAGAGAGCAAATACGCCTAGAAAGTGGAAAGACGTGTCAGAGCAGGGGCCCGTACATGAGCAGAGACA